CCTGCTCTGGCATTGCTGGCCGGGAATGGGCTGGACACTGGCCAAGAGGTGGTGAGGAGCTGCACCATACATCGCTTGTCTGTCTATATCATTACTGTTATAAATTATTATTCTCATTTTTATTTTATTTTTATTTCAATTATTGAATAGTCCTTATCTCAACACATGGGTCTTCTTTCCTTTTCCTGATTCCCCTTCTTCAGCGGGGAGGGGTCACTGGGCAATAGAACAGCTGGCTATTGTTTAGCTGCAGATACAGGCTAAATGTAGACATATATCATGCGGTTGTCCAGGAAGCTCTCTTCAGGGATTGTGGTTTCAGAGTCTCTCCTCTTCAGGATCCCCAGCCGGGTCCAGGCTGGACATTGGTCAGTGGGTGGTGTGCAACTGCACTGTGCATCACTCATTTGTATATATTATTATAATTTTATTATTTTAATTTTATTTTATTCCAATTATTAAATTGTTCTTATCTTAACCCATGGGTCTACTTCCCTTTTCCCCTTCCATTCTTTTTTTCATGCCCCAGGGGTCGGGGAGGGTGAGCAAGTGGCTGCGTGGTGTTTAGTTACCAGCTGAGTTAAACCACGACACATGCTTAGAACGCACGTATTTCAAAGAACATTTAACCACCTCATTTCCTGGATAAATACATTCTACAAGACTTTTTTTTTTTTTTTTAAATAGGTTTCAAATTAAAACATAAGAGAACCAAAACTAAATCAGTTACACTGTACACAGCTGAGGAAGCACCTGTAGAAGTCTCCAGAATAAGACAATTCATACAAGGATAAAGTCGTAGGGAAGCATTTTAAGAAACAATGTGAGAGAAGTACAAAAAATGAACGTTCAGCTTTATGGTATGAGTGCAAATTGCACTTAGATCTTAATCATGTTACCAAAGAATTCAAAACCAAGATTCTCACTAATCTGAAAAGAATCAGACGCGAACAGAATCAGACTGTCAAAGATCTAAACTCCAAAGGATTTTTATGTGTAAATAAAAAAAAAAAGTGAAAAAAAATTAAATTGAAATATTGATAGCCTCTTGACCAGACAGTATAAAAATTTCATGCATGGAAAGAAGGCCTACAATTTAGAACAACAATGGGTGCACAAAGGCTTTGCACAACACTATCATGACACACAGATATATCTAATGTTGAAGTAAATCAAAAGAAGAGATTTTCAGGGAGAGAGTCTTTGCTAACCAAACTGATAAAATTTGCAGGGAGGAACAGGGAGAAATAATGTCAAGATTTTCATCACACCAAGCCTCTTTGTCATGAAGAATACAGGGTGATGGCTGTATGCCAAAAGCTCTTACGCTTTTCCTAAATACCTCAATCAGTTGCCTTAATAAATCACTTCTCCCCATATACCACCCTATATTTCTTCTCCCCGTATACCTTGCCTCTCATATCCTTGGACCACCAGTGCTACAATAAAAATGAATAATAATCAAAGGGTAGACTGTCTAGCTAAGGTAGTGGAAAACCAGTTATGGAACTGCTCAAGCATGCAGCAAATCAACATTTAAAAAAATACGCCTTGTTTGAACCGTTAATGTATGCCCTATGTACAAGGCTGAAGGTGTCACCGCTGCAGAACGGCTCTGTTGCCCTCTCCAGGTAGTTTTCTGTACACAGGAGTACAAGAACTGGCAGGTCAGAAAAGGAAAACTTAACACTACACAGCTTACCCATATCACAATATTTCCTTGACTTCCCAGGATTCACGAGCACTACGCTAACGCAAATTTGTTATTTCTGTATTTTTTCAAGAACGATACTTCTGGTGCAGAAATGTGAGACTGATGGAGATCGCTTTCTATTGTGACTGGTAAGTCAGGGAACCAGAGACTTCGTTCACTAAGGACACCTGCAGCTACATTACATTAGATAGTAATTAGCTTTAACGCACAATCTTGTCTTGCACTAAGTATCTCCTGACTTATCTTAAGGTAACGAGTACTGACAGAAATCTTCTCTTATAAATAGAAGGAAGGTACCTGTACATTCCATTCTGATACGTTTAAGAGATCAGAATACTAATTCCCACATGTCAACTGCAGGCCTATTACATAATACAATACACTACAATCATTTATCCTTTCCATTTATTTTTTAAACATGGCAAAACAGTCATACTTCTAGAGCATGTATTTATAAAATGGCTCTCTTCTTCAAAAATAAGAAATTCTGCCATTCCAGAGTGGAATATAGCATTTCAGAGACTGCACAAAGCCCTACTGTTATTTTAAATTCCATAGTATGCAGCAGAAGCACATGGAAAAAAATAAAAATGCTACACTGCAATGCATTTTGCACAGCTGAAAGCACAGAACCACAAGCTAATGCTGAAATTGCACTGAGCCAGTAGATACAGAAAAGCCCTAATACAGAACTGACATTCAGAATGAGTAACTTCCTTCTCGTGAACTTGTTTTCCCTCAGCTCCTCCTTTCCTCTGCTCTGCACACCGACAAAGGAATCTCTTTCCTCCTCCTGTTTCTTGTCTGAACAGGAAAAGATATATTTTCCTTCTTCCATTTCACCTTCTCCCTTTCTCCTCCATCCATCAGCTACTTGTAAGGAGCAGGGAAGAAATATTTGCAATTTCTAAGCTATTTGGTAAGGCTGCAACAAAAATCCTTGTTTGGTCTTTATAGTAATTTCTTCAGCAAGGTTTCTGGTGATCGCAGAGTCTGACGTCTAGGGGAAAGCATTCTCACGGGCTGGATTTACCCTGTGGACAACTCCATGCAGTCCCCAAACATTTTCCAGACCAAATAATCTGCAATTAAAATAGGTATACTTTGCCCATGGTTGACCACAACTAAGGGAGAGAGAGCAGGTGAAGCAATACCTATCAGCTACTGTCATCCAATATGCATACCGCTTCACAAATAAAATGGCCAGGATGAAACAACCCTACCTAGTGAAAGGCCTACGTAATTAAAGTATATAAGCAGCACATTCGTAATTTGAGAAAAGCTGAAGTTCCAAAAATTGCAGAAAAAATATTTTTTTAAAAAATACAATGTTTTTCTAACAGAGGCTTCAGTACCAACACCAAAAAAAACCCCACCAACAAAAAAAAGCATTTTGGTAGAAAATGTACTCCAAAAGAAGCTGGAGGACCTGGAATGATGTAAGTTAAATCTTTCACACTGTAAAATAATTTACTTTGTGATGACTGAGTCCTCTTTGAAAGTCTCCTTGGAAAGAAGAAATGGAACAAGAGAGCAGCACAGTGCGCCTTACAGAGGTGCACCGGATTTTGAACACTAACACATTAGCTCTCGCTGTAGACACACTTTACAGGGATGGCAAAACCATCAGCCAACAAGGTGATCATTATGGTCTTTTGGGGAGACTAACAAGGACAGATAAACATAGTGCAGCTGTCAAGTCTCCCTGGCAGTCCACTGCACA